AAACATATTTAATTTATTTTTAATATGTGCTGTATTTCATATTTATTTATAATTTGCAGGTTAAAGATCGATACAATAATTGGATATCATTTATTATTCATAATCTTACTCTAGCTAAAAGGATTAAAAAACCTTCTTATTTAACAGTTACAATATGGGTTAAAGAATCATGGGATGAAGTTGATGAAAATATTATTTAAAATTCCTTTAAATGTTGTGGAATTTCAACAAAAACTGATGGCTCAGAAGATGATTGCTTATTTGATTATGATACATTATTAGGTCCAGTGAATGATGATAATGAGGTAGAAAATTTAAATGATTTAAGTAATGATGACAAAGAAATATATTCTGAAGAAAATGATTATGAAAATGAATGGAATATTGAAAATGATAATGGTAATGAAATTAATGAAAAAGAATGTGAAAAGGAAATGGAGATGAATACCAAAGATCAACTGATAAAGAAGAACATTGTATATTAAAAAAATTTGAGAGTACATTATAAAGGATATTAATAATGTAGCTGGTTATAGTAGTTTATTTGTATTAATAAATAATTTAGTAATAATAAAATAATTATTTGGGATATTATAATTTTTCCTAATATTATATTCTGGGTATTTTACATATTTTGAAGGTTAAAAATCAAACATCTCCGTCTAAAATATCTGGGTATTTTAAAAAACTGAAAAAAAATTTAAGTAGGATATTATATATAGAAGGGTACTGTGACCTGCAAAATACGGTAGTTTTTCCTAATATCAATATTAGTCAGGTCATCTATTGGTATAAAAGGAATTATCCTACAGTTGTTCGAGAATAACAGGAATTGATCTTTGGTACTTTGACTCAAGGATTTGATTCAGTTAGAAATTACTATAAAAAGATAAATAAATATGCTAGCTAGGCTCGAATATCTGATCGTAAAAAAAGAATACAATTTATACGTAGTTTATCTTCTAAAAACAAGTTGGAAATAAAGCGACTGAGTTTAAACAGACCTTTAAATAATAATTGATTAAAATATTAGAAGAGATTGAAACGGAAAGGAATAATTTGCTTCTGGGCAAGAATATTTATAACCAGCCAGCTACTAAGATAAAATTAAAAGCGTAGAGTATTACTACAGAAGATATCAATAAGATTGTAAATAGTAGGATTCAGGCATTACAGCAATCAGTGCTAAATCAATCGTCGGCGTCTTCTTCTGGTTAGAAAAATATTACTAAGGCTGATTTACAAGAAGCCATAACTAAATTCTTTCAAGAGACTATGTTTCGAGCAACTAAGACTCTAGGTAATAGTAAAAATTAGCTAATAAGAAAGCAGAAAACCTTATTATTAGATGTTTTTTAGGTGATATACTAAGGGAGAAAGGTAATGTAATTCTTGACAATGATTATAATTATGATCCTGTTGATAATATTACTGACAGTATGGCCAGCATAACAATAAATAGGACCACAATAAGTAATATCAAATCTGCTGTTAAAAGTGCTATTAAGAAATATATCAAGTATGGTAAATTTAGACATACTTCTTGTAAGTGCTTTGTAAAGAAGAAAAAAAAAAGCAAGAAGTCAAAGAAAGGTAAGATCAATCTCATTATAGAACCAGATTCAGATTTAGATTCTTTTTCAGACAATACTTCATCTAGCAATAATTCTGATTCTGATACAAGTTCCTTTAATTCTTCCGATTCTGATAGTAGTCTTGATGTTCATATAGGAGGCAGTTAGTAGAAAAGGGGGAAATCCACTTTTTAGTTAAAAATTTTTTTATTGGCTTACTCTGCTGATCATGATCATGTGAACAAAACTAGCTTAATAACTAAAATTACTTAAAATTTGTAGATTTTCCCCTTTTCTATTGACTGTCTCCATATGTCTAAAATAAAAAAAAAAGTGAAGCAGAAGTCTACTGACATGTCGAGAGAAATTTTACTAGATGAAACTATTTGTAAAGTTCTCTTAAGTGGGCTTAAATTAATTTTTCCTGAACGTTTTTCCTATAAATCTAGCGTCATTATATCCAAACAGATAGTGGCTCTTATAGAGACAGAGATAGTATCTCAAAGCAATATCCCTTCAGCCTCTAAAGATTTATCTTTGGATGAGTCCAGTCTAGAGGAGGAGTGCTTAAACGATCCTATAGAAATCTATTTCATTTAGAAAAAGGAGCTGAAAACAAATATTGTGACTGTAAAGTTTAAAATTAAGCACTTAAAGATTTCAGCCATGACTCTTAACTCTGGAGCTGAGCCTCCAATTATAACAAAAAATATTGTTGATCACATTAGGGCTAAAATTGATAAATCTAAAAAATATAACCTTAGTAGTATCGTTACTGTTCCTATTGAATCTATTGGTATTACCTGCAATTTGCCAATTACCTTAGTCTCAGGACTCACTATTCATAATGATTTTTTAGTTATAGATTATTATAAGTTAATGCTAATATTTTTTAACTAACTTTTAAAGAAATACAGATGCGCAGTGGATTGGAATATAAATGAGCTAAAAATTCCTTTCAATGGAAAAGATTATATTATTCCTATCACTATATACAAAGTCAAAAATAAGCTCAAGGTAAACTATATGACCACTACTTCTGAATATGATAAATCCTTGACCCTGAACTGTATTTTGCAGGACTCTCAGGACTTAAATGAAAAGGACATATTAAAAAAAACACATGAGCTATGAAGAGCTCAAAAAAATGTTGTACGATTCTCTCAAGTCTAAAGCAGACCCTATAAAAAATTTGCATACGTTTTTTCATTATTATAAATAAGTTTTGTATACGTTTTTTGAAATTCCGTATCACA